CGACACGTACTCACGAGTTGAGGGAAGATTACCTCGACACGAGGATTGAGAATCATTACCGCGAACCATGGAGCTGGGTGACAGAGTTTATGCTGCGGAGCGGATTACGAAGAAGAGGGAAAAGCGGGTTAGTATCGCGTGCCACTGCCTCCAGATGGCGTTACCAGGCGGAATCTATACACCGCACATTACCGGCTTTATCCCTTTTCTTTCCATCTCCCTTTCTCGCATTTCTTTTTTCTTCTTTTTTCTTTTTCTTGAACCAAAAAAGGCTTGTATACTAAAAATAGATTTTGAATTAAAATAACAAGAATCAATTTGCTGAAAAAAATTGAATTAACAAAAACAATTTCCTGATATTTTAATTCAGAAAATCAAGTATATAAAATATCTCATCGATACAAGTCTGATATGTATTAATTATTTTTCAATTTCCAAGCATCTTATTGATACTGATCCGATGTGATATGCATAGTAGCGAAATAAATGTGTAAATGTTTTGATAACAATCTATCTTCTTCGTTTCTATCTTCAGTTGAATGTAAAATGAAGATTGCGAGAAAAATAAGAGGGAGTAAATAGCAAAACAAAATAAGTAAACCTTTTCTCGAAAGATTGATTCATGCGTTTGGAATATGCGACGAAATCTCATAACGGCTCTAATTATTATTTGCTCTTATTTCTATATTTTATATAGAGAGTTGAGAATTATAGTGTAGTGTAAGTCGGAAATTTTTAAAAATATATTTTTACATTTTCTTTCTTCTAAGTGTTTTCTTTATTTTTACAATGAAATAAATCAAATGTTTTTTAAGAAATTTTTTTTCATGGCTGTTCTCTTAATTCAGTTTCCATTGTTTTCTATAATTATATTGACTTACACTACTATGATTTTTAGCTCTCCATATATCTTGGGATTAAAGAATTGTTAAGCATTATTTCTATATAAACAAAAAGATATGCAAAATTATGACATTATTTATAAACTGTAAACATTCTTATAAATAACTAACTGTTTCAAATTGGTCCAATTCAGATTTATAGAATATTCTCTCTACCTCAGTTTACATCAAAAACATAATTTTAAATTCATATAATGTCATAACATTCTCTATATGAATCGATTATACTTAGTAGATATTGTAGTTAGTCACATCTGTTAGTACAAATCAGGTGCGATATAGAAAGAAATTTTGATTTGTTACCACCTTATTGGAACGTCAATATGATATGATACAGCGACAACATGGATATATGAATATTTCGATTGTGCCTTTATTGTCATCTCGGTTTGTATAAAAGTAAATTGAGACTGTACAATTTCTGATTAACGGGAATTTCCGAAGGCGGACGATGCGACGGTGAGCTCGAATAGGAGAAAGGTTCCGTACAGAGAGCGATCAGCTGGTAGCGACCGG